GCTTTGTCACCCATGCTGGAGTGCAATGGCACGATCTTGGCTCACTGCAACCTCTGCCACCCCTGGGTTCAAGCAATTCTCCTGCCTCAGCCTCCCAAGTAGCTGGGATTACAGGCGTGTACCACCATGCCTGGCTAATTTTTGTATTTCAGTAGAGACAGGGTTTTGCCATGTTGGCCAGGCTGGTCTCAAACTCCTGACCTCAGGTGATCTGCCCACCTTGGCCTCCCAAAGTGCTGGGAGCCTTCCAAAGTGCTGGGATTACAGGCGTGAGCCACCATGCCCGGCCGTCTTTTTAACAATTATTTATTTATTTATTTTTATAGCAAGCTGCTAGGTGTGTCTCTGTTTAGGCATTGCCTTAACATTGGGTATTGACAGAGCAGGGGAGGAAGTTGCCTCTGACCTTTCTGAAGCTCCCATTGTACTTGAGGCTAAGCAGCCCACAGTTAATTTTAAGTGGCAGAAGAAATGAGAACAAATTCCTCCAGGATGAGAAGTTATAATTCTGCTGAAACAATGCTCTCCCATAGGGCATATGAGCACATTCAACCACGTCTAGAAAAGAATCCGAGGGCAGGCGCGGGGTGCCAACTGCTAGAAATCTTGCAGTTAGATTAGAAGAGGGTCTGAGTTTTTAGATAATTTTAGGTGCCAGGATATGATTAACAGGCTATGTTCAGGACCTACTCTTGATACTGTCGAAATAAAAACAGAAATAGCTGCCTGGAGAACATCCACGCCCTAAAAGACAAAACATGTTTTCTGGGTGAAGGGATGATTTAACTCAGGAAACTTGAGAATACCAAACAACAGCAACAGAAATAATGTCCTTGAACATATTCAAGTAGAATGGCAAGGCGTTTTCCAACATAAGACATTATCATTTTCCCGCTACTCCAAAAGAATCCAATAAATAATTTTATAAAATTATAATCAAAACTGGAAGTGACGTTGCCCACCGACAACCCAAATCACAGGTCCTTGTGCAATCCCAGGGCTGAGCGGTCCAAGAAAGCCACTCCCTGAGCCCAGCCTGAGGTTCCATCCTTCCCGAATGGGACTGGGTAGAGGGTCCATGCTCCTTTGCAGAAGAGTTGCATCCGGTAAGCTCAGGTGGTAAGTGAAGCCGAAGATGACAACAGGAGAAGTGATCAAAGCCAAGGTTTCCTCACACTGAAGCCAGGCCTTATGAGGTGACATCTTTGGTGGGGCCTCTTTGCCCAAGTTGGAGCAGGAAATCCTGTGCCTGTCACACAGGGAAGAGCTCAGGTGGGCTTGCTCCATAGCAAGACTTTGCTACGGGGTCCTGGTAAGTGTTCTCATGTTGCATGCTCTGGGATGAGGTCCTGCATTTGGCCAGGAACAACTCAAAGTGTTCTTCAACTGCCATGAAGAGGTTCTGGAATGCCACAGCTGCCCGGCTGGGGAAGCACTCCAAGAGAGTGCTTGTTGGGCCCAGGGAGCAGGAGGTCCAATACTCGAAGGTGCTGCAGCAGCCACTGGGCCAGCAGCTAGGGACATTGATGTTGCAGCAGCGATTAGGCCAGCAGCCATCACAGCAGTATTGCTTTGGGCTAGGGACATTGATGTTGCAGCGATTAGGCC